TGCAGCTAGATGAAATATGATTGTTACACTTGCACTAAATAAATAAAATCTCAGGACTTTTTTTGTCACAGTGCGTAAAAAACACAGACTTGGGGTCTGAAGATAACACAAAAAGGAAAAACAGTAGCTATACTCACCGTCCATGTGTGGGCTGGGAGTGGCCTCTTTATAATGCACTGTTTTCTGTGCAGCCTGGCCCACCTCCTGCTCCTGCTGTAGCACCTCCTGCCAGGCTGAAAACACAAGACTTCGGTCAGTAAAGCCACCATGAACACCAAAATGTCCTCTGTCCAGTCCTACACTCCAGGGCCACACCCACAGTGCCTAACAAGTAAAGTCCAGCAACTGTTTCAGAGACATACCTCTGACCAATGTTTGTGTTCCAAACAGTGAAGCACGTGGTCACAAACTGTGTGTGTGCGCTTGTACACTACGATTGAGTTCAACTTTGGCAGCTGTCTCCAGGTCACGACTTTGAGGAGCCTCCAGTGGATACGTTTGATTATACAATTTGTATTTCAGTGAACAGAAAAGAACCAATCCAACCTGAACAGAAAGGCGGTGTCAGGCCTACTTTGTGCCCTTGTCCAGTCAGTGCCAAGGTTACTCAAGTCGTTTATGAGCTGCTGTGACCGAGCTTCAATGCCAACAACAGGACACACAGTGTAAGAACCACTGAGCCAAGTGGGGGATCTCCTGGAGACCTGCTGGGTTTGTGAATGTTAAAAAGAAGCCCAAACTTCAAATCCGGGTCACCAGACCCAACAATCCTGTCAGAACGCTTTGGTGCTCTTCTTTAAAGTGATGCCTAGATTTAAAGCCCAAGCCTGAAATGTCATTTCTTTCAGCACATGTGCCAGCGTGGGTCAAGAGGAGATTGATGTGGGCGTGGGAGCATTTTTCTGCTCAGTGCCTATCAGTGTCAGAGCAGCTGTGTGGGTGAGGCCTTGGAGGGAAGAAGGGGCTGGTTAGCATCTTGATAGTAAAACAATGTCATTCACAAAACAGCAAGTGAGGGATGGGTGTCAGGATACAGTGTAACAGTCTCTCACTTTCTTACCCTCAGAGACAAACTTGACATTTTCTTCATGTGACAGGGTGAAACTCTCTTCGTGATGATTGTGTGCGGGCAGAGCTGGAGCAGGGTGATGGTATTTCTTACCATTCAGACGGTTGAAAACAATCTTTGGAGCAGGAAGTCTGAAAGGGGGACAAGAGAAGTACTGTGTTGATTTCTGCAAGAAAGAAAGTGCTCATTATCATTCCCAAGCAGGAACTTTAAGCGATATCCTATATCCAAGAAAGGCTGGTTAAGCAGGAGTAAGAAGTTACAACAGCTGAATGAGGGACCTTGTGATCCAAGGTCACACACACATGAACAGGGCCAGTCTGCCTGGCTGGTTCAAACCAAAAATCATAAAAACCAACAGAGTAGGCAGGCCAAGCTCAGAGAAACCCAGAGCGGAGTTTTATTCAATCACCAAGGCATCAGCTGATGAACAATTGCTGCGGTCTCTAGCTGATGACGTCCACAGCTGCTAGGACACAGTCATTCACAATCACAACCAAAAGTATCTGAAAAAGACTATAATGCAATCATTTCTTTACAATTGTCTCCTTTCACGACCTGTGCACCTACCCAGGCATATTCCAGGACGTTTGTTTGTGCTTGAAGTCACTGATTTTGCTGTCCAGCTGCTGTGTGGGCCCTGGAGAGCAAGACAAAGAGGATAAAACAACTTGTTATCAGCAGTCCGGAGAGGTGAAAGTGGGTTTTCCGGTGTGCCGTGCTTCATAGTTTAGCCCCACAGTCTCACCTGTGCGTCGCTGCGTGACCAGTTTGCTGGGACCTCTTGTAATTGTGTACATCATGCGCGGGCGGCTTCACCTGTGATCCCCGAGTTCGACACTTTGAAGTGTGAAGCAAAGCACGTACATCCAAGAAGCTCTTCTGATGTGAGAAGCTGATCAATCCACTGAGCTGGGGCACGAGAGTGTGCAAACTGTTCGGTAACCTCGTGAAGCAGAGCAGTGCGCCACGCGTAAAAAACACAACAACCCCAAAAACTAGCGACCAGTGCACAGTCAGAGTCCCGTCTCTCCGTGTGCCCCGATCACTCACAAAATGTAAGTCACTTTGGTGCTAAGGTGTCCTGGCCGGCCACAATGTCACATAACCTGAAACAGCGGCAGTCATTCGTAAGACACGAGACGCACACGGTCACCGTCTCGACGTGCCTACACGCCTCCTTTGGCGCTTTAAAGCGACAGCGTCCCCCGAGTGTGAAGTGAGACTTGCAGAGGTGTAATGAAGCTTGTTTCACTAATTTGCCTCAGGTGAGAGCGAAAATGCAGAATGATCTCACTTTATCGCGATGATTCGGCCTCAGTGTGACGAATAAGACACTAAAATCGGGTCAGATGAGTGACGTGTATGTGCTTCAACAAGCCGCAAATGCGCCAACGATGTCTGTGTTTACAGTACACACAGGTGAGCACAGGTGCACCAACAGTAACACATCTGTGGGAGTTCTCCCCCAGTTCAATTCTGAGGCTCAAGAAGTTAATTTTGTGCGTTGGTCTGATATTGTTTGCAGCATTTCGCACCATTAGTGCGTCAATTCATGATTGAAATATATTTATTTGCGTCCTGGTTCTCAGTCAGAGTGTAACCAGGTCGATCCCAAGCCCGGGCGGGAGTTCTCGATACCAAGGCCCCTTTTTGTTTCTTCTGTAACCTTTTAAGGGGAAAAAACTTCCAAATCTTTCGATGTCTGTATCTCAGATGTGTTGCAGTTAAAGACAAAACAAATACCGTTTTTTATATATATATTTCTTTACTTATCTTTACACGGGCACAACTCAAGTGTTCATTAAGAAAGTAAGAAAGCAAACTTTGACCCTGTAAATGAAACTATTAGCAGCAGTTGGACACAGAAACGCACCTGAAACATCAGAGGAATAAATATGAGTTACAGTAATGAATGAGATGTTCTGCGTGTGTCACCTCGCATGATTCATGATCCACTTTTTCACAGATTAAACAAAACCCTCTTTTATTGACACACGCATTAAAACAATATAGAAATATTTGAGTTGGTGCTTCTGCTTGCACTTTTGAATTGTACAATTAACCCATATTATCACCGTCTTACATGCAGCACAGTTTTTTGTGTTTTTGTGCAGCTGCAGGATTAAATAAATATCACATAGCAGTGACATGAGATCTTTTACCATTATGACAATGTCATCATGACAAGCAGTAAATATGCCTAAATGTTATGTAACCACTATATACATACATTGTTGTCTCTTTAAAGGTGCAGTAAAACCTGTGGAAGATCAGCAGCACAGCAGGTAGAGAAAATGCTTATCCCTGGTCCAGGTGAGGTGGAGGTGTTACTGCCGGCAGTAGAATAAAGGTGACAAGTCTGCAGATGTTCCTTCATGGTGTAGCATGTTTGTATAGCCTGTGTGCCAGCTACAGGTAACTAGAAGAAGAGTCAGATTTTACTGGAAGTTTTCAAAAGGTGGTCTTGAGCAATAGTTCTTTAGGCTTTCTGAAGGTCTTTCAAAGTTTTTGTTTGGACTTTGGCTGCTTTTTCACTCATTTTCAGTCCAGTCCTTGTACCTGATCATTTTCAGGGGAATAATTTCGGTTTGTTTGTTTTTGTTAAGGGACTTAACACTTGACCTATGAATAATTCCTATTGTATGTGTCTACACATAACAGACAACTTTGCAAAGAACCCATTTGAAATTGTGTGTTTAGGCACTTTCTTTCTAGCAGATATAAAAAAGTATTTTTGCACCAACAAGGTGATTCCCAAACAGCCAAAAACTGAAAAATCCCAGCATGGTGTGCAGCCGGTCCTTACAGCATTTGAGGAAGCTGGACAAGTGCAGGATAAAAGCAGATGTAGTAGTTTCTAAAAACTATATATATCTACAGCATCTGCAGATATATATATATGAGCAGGAACAGTACATGAACAGTATGTGAAAGTCATCTTCTTAAGACATAGGAAAGAAAATTCAGGTTTGATACAGAACCTGAGAGATGCATCTGAACCTTCAGTTGAGCCGTCTGCTGTTCACTGAACGCTCATCACAAATGGTCTCGGTGGAAGGACGGCGGTCACGGAGCCATTCGTAAGGAAGGGAAAAGAGGAGAAAAGGCTGAGGTATGCTGAACTACACAAGAACTGGACTGAATGATGTGGACAGCATGACAATGATCCCCAACACACTCCCAATGCAGTAAAAACAACATGGATAACATACATTAGGAAACTATCAATCATGGATCGGCCTCTGCAGAGCTCGAGCCTCAACTTTACTGAAGCGTCTTGACACAAAAGGCAGAAACATCCAAAGAAGAGCTTTGATGTCCTTCAAGGAGCCTGGGAACTACTCCTGAAGATTACTCGAAGATATATAAAGAAACAAGTGTTAGCTCAAGACTTTTGCACAACACTGTAAACCGGTGTATTTCTGTGGAACTGGTTGCCATCACAGAATTAGCTAGCACCAAACTTCTAGCTTTATTCCATTTTATAATTTATCTTTCAGTATTATCAACACTCTCACTTTATTATATAGGATTTTTAGGATTATTAAAAGGAAAAATGACATGTGTTGCTATTCTTTAAAAATAATCTGCACTGGTTATGAATCTGGCTGATCGCCACCTAAAAGTCAGCTCCTTGTGAGGCGCTGCAGCACTTCAGTCGTGACCGCTCGTTCTTCTGCCTCTTTGATTTCACTACACACCGTGCACGCTCATCATTTTTGCAGCACCGAGCAGGTTTTGAGCTGTGACTGTTCCCATCCAGGCTGACACTGTTCACTCTGAGGTGTACTGTAATGTCCTGAGATTTCTGAGGGAATTCAAGTTGAAGGGTCACCATTTTGACACAGAGGAGATTTATGGAAGAGCAAGAGGACTTCCTAAGGAGGCTGCCTTGAAGGGGAGATTAACCACTTTAAATCGGGTATGGTTTTTATTTACTTGTACGCAGGAGTAGAAATGAATGATTGCACTTCTTAATTATAACCTTTGTCAAACCAACGAGTTTCTAAGATCTAATTTGGTTATATTGAGAACCTGTAAGTCTGGAAGATTTCCTCAATAATGAGGATCACAGTCCTCCAGCAGACTGTCAGTCATGTAGCTGATCTTCAGCAGGTTTTGGTAGTACTCCTTCTCCACAGCAGTGTTAACAGTCCAGCCCACCACCTCCACTCCTCGCTCTGCCCAATACTGAACATAGTCCCTGATTGAAAGGAAAGAGAACAAACTCAATTGTGCAATTCTCACGCAGCAAAAATATTTCAAAAATCGAGAGGTGGCTCGAGACTTTTGCACAGTACTTTTAAACACTAAATATGAAGTTAATCATTTATGAGTAACAGATGAATCAAAACCACCTTCCTGTTGGTCACCGTTGGTCTGCAACAACACAGTCTACGGCAAAATAAACTACCTGTCAACTCTCAATTACCGTGAGATGAAGTCTTTCTGCACAAGAATGGCAGAGATCCCACAAAGTTTCCACAGTACGCGATGGTGGGCCCAGTCCAACAAGACGTCCAGAACACCGGTCCACAACTGGCTCCACGTCGACAGAGAACGAGGCGTGCCGTCTCCAAAACGGCTCAGTCTCCAGGGCCGGTGGGTGAGAGCTGTGATCACGTGGGGGTCAGTCTGACGCATCTGCGGACCAGAAGAGGACAAAGGTCAACACAGTGCAGGTTTTAGTAGTTAGTAGAGCCTTTTATTTCGTTTAAACAAATACAGTGGATTGAATTAAATCTGTACCGGTGGTGAGCAAGAAAGTCTTGGGTGATAAATCTCAGCAGGGCCCATCACTGCCACACAAAATGACATCACTGCCTCCATAAAACAGAGGCTGATTACGAGAAGCTGAAATCACTCACAGAATTCCTCCTCCTAAACATTATCCTAAACCGTTATGATTAGTGTTGTTTTTGACTGATTTTCATGATTAGTGTAATTCAGGAGTTTTTGAATTACCTTGTAGATGGCTTTGGGTTCAAAGGAGGAAACGACGCTGGAGTTGTAAAGTACCGGGAACTTCTTAAACATGTTATGAAGCACTGATACAGCCTGTAAAGCAGGGGAATGAACAACACAAGTACTATAACTGTGTGGTAATGTCAGTCTCTTTCTTTTTTTATTACAATCATTGCATTAGTTCAGCTAGCGTGTAGTTTTTCTCTTTTCTTCGAGAGCCTTGTATGTATGTTGAGTAATGTATCCATAAGCCTGTTAGGTTAGCGCTTAGTGTATGTAGTACCATATCAGGTTGACCTTTGACATCAAAGAAGATGGTCAGCTGGTGCCTGATGCATTCCTCCACAGCTTCCTGCAGAGTTGGAACCTTCTCTACATTAAATCTGTCCCTGCAAATTAAAAGAAACCATTGGAAAACTGACATAACTCCCTGTTCTTACTGGTTACTGGTCTATGAACTACATCTGTATAAAGCTGGTGGTCAGAAGTTTGCATCAACTCATTTATGCTTACAATGAGCATAAATGTCTCATTGTAAGCATAAATATATGATTTCTTTGAGCTGTTCTTTTTCCAGGATGATTTCACATTACACATCTTTAATGACTTTGAAAGCAAGAAGTGGGTGCACAAGTTTGAATTTTTTTTGGGATTTTCTCTAATCCACACACGGTCAAAAGTATAGATACACACCCACTAATATTTGGTTAAATGTTCCCAGTAAGTTGCACCTCAAACAGATGCCTTTGGTAGCCATAAACAAGTTTCTTGCTTCTAACTCAAACTGGATATTTGACCACTCCTCTTGACTGAATTGACAATCTACAAGTATAACTGGCAGCAAAAGAGCCCCAGAGCTTGATGCTACCACCACCATGCCTGAAATTTGGTATAGTGTTCTCAGGTTTGCAACCACAATATATTTGACTCATCCGTGTGGAAAGACGCGAGAATAAAGGTGTCATTTTTGGAGCATGATGAGTGTATGTAAGGTTTTTGACCACAACTGTGTACATTCCATTAGTTTTATTCTACGTCTATGAAAAGAGATGCACTATTAAATCATTTTGTTGAAAAATACACATATAGACAAAAATAAGGAGGAAAAAAAGACAAAAGGAGAACCAAAGTTTCTGCATTTCTAAAACTGTGAACTTTTGGTGAAACACACTTCTAAGACTCCACATTGAGCAGCTTATTGTTCACAAACACTTTCCCCTTTTTAATTAGCCTAAACATGCTTGAATCACTGATCAATAGGCAGCCTACTTCATCCTGTGGTGAGCAGCAGCATTGAGTCTCCTGAGCTGAACAAACTGAAGTTTGCTGATTGGTCCAGACCCATTGGTGGTTCGGTCCACGGTCTCATCATGCATCAGGACTGGGACTCCGTCGGCTGTGAAACTCAGGTCCAGTTCCACTCCGGTGGCCCCGTTCCTACTAGCCTAGAGCAGATGTAATGGGACAGAGTGATACAGTGTGAACCAATGTATGATTATATACATGGATGGATGAATTCTGCTGTCCAGAAGACAGATAAGATTTTATCTTTGCTTCATACTCATAAAAAGCTGAAAACCAGCCTGTTGAAATAAAAGAAGCATTTCATCCAGAGGTTTAGGCATCTGGATAGATGCTAGGAAGAGAAGGCATTGTGAGATGGAGAGCAGATCTTCATCATAAAGATGGCATCAGATTATAAACAGCACAGGAGCAGAATCAGGTGCAAGATGAGTCTGACCTACTTCCACTTATTTCTAACCCTCCCAAAGCAGGTGGAAAAACACCAAGAAAACCTGCTTTTACTGCAAAAGTAACAGCGACAGCATGTCTCAGCAATGGCTTTTAACCCAAGGGGCTGTTATTCCAGATAACACCATAATTAAATGTCTCTGCACCTGTCATTTGCTGCAGGTAGATAAGAGACAAGAGGCCTGTGGTTATAAATCAGAGCACTACAGCTCTCACCTCTCTGATCGCTGCCAAGGTGTTCTCCGGAGCGTCGTGGCTTCCTCCGCGGTGCGCCACCACCGGGACGCCGCCGCTTGAGGAGAGAGCGCCGGGCCGCAGGACTCGAGCGGCCCGGTCCGCCGGCACCGGAGGGAAGCGGAACATCACCATGAAGATGTAGAGAAACGCGGTGAGGAGGGTGGCCCAAGTGGCGCTTCTAGTTACCAGTACAACCAGCAGAAACACCACTGAGAAATACACCACCTCATCTCCGATCTGCAGCATGGTGAAAGAACACAGGACGGGATGTTTGTGTCACGGCCGGCTGGGTGGATGCAAAAGTCGCTGTTTAGACACGGCATGGATGGAGCTCTGCTATCAGTACGCGGGTGGCTACATGTTGGAGGCAGATCTCAAATAGATGAGCGAGAATCAGCAGATTGTGAAAAGGATGGATACAGGAGCGCTGCTCTTATCAGTGTGGTGCTGCAGAAATCTATAATGTCCTATTTAAAGAATCAGATTTCATGAAATATAACCTGGATTTAAACATCCAATCAAGTCGGTTTGGACAAATATAAGAAAAGCTTGTGCTTTTATTTTGAAGGCAAAAAATCACATGACCAGCTCCTCTGACCGGTTTAGTACAAACAGGATATGCACAAACAACCAAACATACACCATTTTGAAAACATTTTTCTTAAAATCAAACATTAGAGCCAAAGGAGTGCAGCCGAGGAATGAATGCAGAACACAGCAAATTAAGGAGACACTGTACATGAATAAAAAGAAATTATTAAAAAATCTTTTCTTTTTTTTAAAAGAAAATTTAGTCATAAAACTCATAGTACTTTAGAACAATGGTGAGGTAATGAACAGGTCTTGGAAATGTTTTCTACTCTTGCTAAAAAACAAACAAAAACAGTTAAATAGACTTCAAAGAACAGAAAGTGAACACTTTTTTCACAGTTAAGGCACAAACATCTGTCTCTGTTTCTCCGTGTGCAGCGTCACTCCGTGCAGCTTGCTGTGGACTCTGTGGGCAGTGAGCTGATGTGCTGGAGCAGCTGATCGCAGTAGACAGGACTTCGCTGTTTGTCCCGGACAGCCTCCACCTCCTCCTTCAGAAGTGCAGGGTGCACCGAGCTGCCTTTCTTCAGGATTTCTGCACACACACACACACACACACACACACACACACACACACACACACACACACACACACACAGAGAGAGAGAGAGAGAGAGAAACAAATTCATTCAGAAAGACAGCACACATAAAAGTCAGCATTCTGGATTTGAGCTGAACATCAAATACTTAAAAATTTGGGCCCAAAAATAAACATCTCCCATGATCTTCAATTCCACTCTACACTAAATAACAACAGCGAGCTGATGCTGTCACTCAGTGAGGGGTGACAGTTTTAACAAGCTCAAAGCCACTTATAATATTTGCACCATCATCATACTTAACAACTGGCACACTGTACTTCTCCTAAAGTGCTGCCTCATATTTATCTGTGAACATAAAAATAACTCAGTTTAAAGCTTTAACTACTGGCTGGATGTGTTTTTAAAAGCACTCTGGCTCATCAAGATGCTGCACATCTCACACAAATTGCAGCTAAGGTTTCCTTCCAGCATTTTTCCTGCCAGTAAGAAATTCTGACATTCCCACCCCAAAAAGTTTTAGCCAGACCCAAAGCAAAATCTCTTTCCCCCATTCAACTTATAATAAGCTATTTTTAAAAAACCTTTTATGCTTAGGCAGTTTACAAAATCATAATGCACATTTTTGTTCAGTAAATAGTCATAAAAAAGAAAGAAATGCACAGATTTCTGTCAAACAAGGTAACAGATTGATGATGTGCAGTTTTTTTTCCCGTTTTGTTTTTGCACTTCAAGTTTTTGCAGTAAAGAGTTGACAAGAAAGAGTTGGAGAAGATACTTAGCAACGGACTGCAGGTTGGATTCGAACCCTGGATGCTGTACAGCCATAGGGATTTTCAACCAGTGAGCTAAACTAGCATGCACTGATGCGCAGTTTTAATCTGAAAATTTTCATGGTCTTCCAGATCTCGTTTTCCATAGTCCCCTTAATTTAACAACAACAACAACAACAACAATAATATTTTAGCTAATAAAGGTGGGCGAGGCACTGTTTTTATAGCTTTACAGCCTTTCCTTATTTTATAGACAAGCAAAGGCTGTAAGTTGACCTTTGAGCTCCAGGTGGATGCCGTCTGTAGAACAACCCAACCACGTATGCACTTTAACCACAAGCTCTGTGGTCTCCACGTCAACAGCACTTTTATGAGATTTATTGAATTTGTTCTCATGTTCTCTTTTATCAGCTGGAACGCTCACTAAACCTAACCCCCCCCCCCCCAAAAAAACAAAACAGCAACAGTGTAGCAAAATTGTAGGTGTGACCCTGAATCATCTTCATAACCTGTACAAGGTAAGGACAGGCCCAGCCTATCCTGGATGACTCTAGCCACCCTTTCTCAGAGAAGTTTGCCATTAGTCTTTTGAATAGCACGCTATGCTCTTAATGCTTTTATTGTATATTTATTGCATTTTGCTTGTTGATTGTGTGTTTTTTGCTGACTGTAAATCAAATGACCCTTCTGGAGATAATACAAACCTCCATGACAGCTTTTTTGAACATTCTTATTCGCTTAAAGGACTGAGCACACCAGCAGGTGGCAGCGATCAACTAGACGCCAAGTGTGCAGATCCTTAAAAAAAAAAAAAAAAAATCCACCAGGAGGCGATAAGTCACTGTTAAAATCCTCTCCTCCATTGCTCCCACACGCTGTGCTGATTTTCCAGGTATATTGAATTACTTCTATTGCTGTCCCAGTGGGTAAACACTCCACAAACAACAATGCAAAAGCGCTGTTTCAGTGGTGACAGAATATCACTCTGGATGAGTTATTGCATGTAAGCTAATCATTTGATACCCACCTTTGTTCTTCAAGGGGATTGAGGGGATTCTTAGCTTTTGTGTGTCCTGTACTCAGTTGGGATGGATGTGGTGGGAAGAGGCGGGACTTTGAATTAAAAGAGAACAATGATGGCTTGTGAGAAGCAAGTTACGCCCGTGCCAGCAGTGACAGAAGGAGGGATGGGAGTGTTGTCCATCATTCTGTCAGGACATGCTGCAGACATCAAGACAATTCGCAGATATGCGTTTGAAATACAAGAAGCGTAAGAATGGGATCAGCTATTAAAGGAAGAAGTAGAGAGAGATAGAGGGAAAAACAGAGGGTGGGAAAAAGAAAGCTTCAAACAGAGCCATGCATGAGAGGGAGGAATGCTTCCACCAGGATATGGGCTGGTTATGGGTGCTGTCAGATATAGATCACTCAGCGAGACGCGAGGTCGTGTATTCCACAAAGAGTCTCTGAGCACAGTTTGAAGAGCCCGACTCACAACCATATACTTAAACTGCTTGAGGCACATCTGCTGAAAAGAATACGTTCTAATGCTCTTGTGTCATTTATTTCAGCACTTCTAAAACACTTTGGAGCCTCTTGGAAATTTGAGAAATTTCCAAAAACTGTAACATCATTTAGGTACCATTCAAACTATTGGTATTCCAAACCCTTTCAGCCTAAATGCTTCAGACACACGTGACACAATTTTACACAATTGTATCAGAAAATAAATCTGGGTTGAAAAGATAACATGGGTGAAGGTGGAATATGTTTATTTTGTTTGTGTAAATGTCCCTCATTTTTTCCATTTATAACAGCAATGTGCAAAAGTCCTGCGCCACCCCTCATTTCTTCAAATTTTGCTTCCAAGGAGCCAGTGTTGTGTCTATAAATAACACACAATTTTAAATTGTATCTTAAGGGAATTTTTTTACTGGCAGCCTGCTGCAAAACAGATAATTTGTTACCATTTCTTTAGTTGAATACATGAAAAATACCAACGATAATGGAGTTTGCCAAAAAGCATTTTTGCATCAACAAGGTGTTTTTACAAAGCGCTATTAGCCAAAAACTCCCTAGATTTCGGCACTGGTGTGCATTGTGTCCTTAATAAATTTGAGGAAACTGGACAAGCGGGGGACAAAAGAAGATGTAATAAGTCTTAAAAAATATCCAGCACAGACCTGACACAGGACCTGAGTGGTGCCTTTGGACCTTTGGGTGAACCATCGGAAAAACTGGAATTATGCGTTTGTACAATCGGATTTTGACCCATCATGTATAGAAAACGTGATTGGCTACAGCTTCCTTTTTCAGCATGAAAATGATCCCTAATACTGTGCCAATGTGGTAAATGAATACTTGAATTGAAAAAACAAAACAAAACCCACACAATGAAACAAAACTATCACTGAACTTTTTGGCATCAACGATGGATGACCCCAGTGTGAGAGTCACTGGTTTCAGCTGAAATAACTAAACTAGATATTTAAACTTTTAAATATCAATTAAAAGAAAAATCTATTGTCTGTCACAGTATGTTGACCTAAAATCAGCCAATAATGTTAAAGAGGGCTGATGCTTTTTTATACATTGAAAAGACCAGCAGTTGTTTATAAATTTCATTCAAACAGTCTTTTTTGGTAGTTGTGAGTGCTGCATCAGAGTCTCATGGCCAAGGAAAATGTAGGAACACTTCACCCAGTGTGACTCATCTATCACACAGAGATCTAAGACACGGAGTAAAGACTTAACAGGCTTTGGCTATGCAGGTACTAACTGCTAGCAGAATAAACCCAACAGTGATGTGGGACTTTTCATGGGATTTGTTGCCATTGTGTGAGATACGCAACTGTTTCGTGTCCTGGATAAGTTGAGACAGTAACCACATCCTCAATTATTCATTTCATGATTAAACTGAAACAAACAGAATCAAGGCCATGGACATCTTTCTCTCAGTTTTAAAGAAAGTGAGCAAGATCCAGGCCAGCGCTCTTCCTAATGCTCCACCTCCACAAGTGCGGCTAAACGAACGTCCTAGCCTTGCCAGGAGGAATCCCATTATTTTTTCCACCCACCAAGGAGATCCTTAAAAAAAATAAATACAACACAGAAACTGCTCTCAATAAAAAAAAGAAAAGAAAAAACACTGAATGTGGGTGTGCATATAGTAAGTCTCCATCACAGAAACAAACAGTGTCTTTGTAAAGTCCTCTTAAGTGTGAGGCTTCATGGTATTGAGGCTTCGGCGGCATCTGGCGAGTATGAAAATGCTTCTTTTTTAAACCCAGAGAGAGAGAAAGAAAGAGAGGTCCCTTAGCGAGGCCTCCCTCTCGCTCATCACTGGCAAAGGCATCAGCACTCACCTGCGTCCTGTCAGAAGCAATGACAGCTAACATCCATATGAGAGTGGGAGGGAGTGCAAGTCCAGAGGAGCAGAGGCTTGGTTAGACAGTTCAGGAGGGAAAAAAAATGTGCTCAGACTTTCCACTGATACGTAAATAAAACACAGCCGTGAAGCCACTGTGGACAACAGAGGGCACGAGGAGGAGGAAGAGAGAATGACAGATAAAAGATGAAGGGATTAAGTGGGATGTGAGGGCAGATGTGAAAAGGTGGCGAGGGGCAGAGCGTCTGAATGTGGTTTTCATTTCGTGGGAGCGTTGAGAAGAGAGATCCTGAGCAGAGAGGCAAACCACACACACAAACACGCACACACTCCTGTGCATGTAGGAGGGAGTTAATATACAGACATTAAAGCTCACATATTTATACTGTGAAATGAACATCTTAGGTGGGGAGGTCTTTATCTGCAACCCCTGAAGCCCAAGAAAAGCCCAGCTCTTAATGGTCTTAAAATACTTTGACAGGGGAAATTGCACATGCTGCTTCTGGTGATAAACTGTGTGGAAAAGAGGGATAATGGTAAGCTTTGGAAAAAGGGAGCAGAGGGTACACTGGCCGACTGCCAGTAGCACAGTCTAACGTTTGATAGAAGTCACCCCAAATTCCTCTCATCCCTGTCTGAGTGTTTTGGACACAGGGGGCTGATCTGCAGAGCGTCACACCTAAACTCTGCTTTCACCACTGCCTCACACTCACCATCATATTTCTCAGATAATCAAGATCGTAAGATCCGTCGCACATCATCTGAAACCAAACAGCGCACACGCAACTTGAGAACGGTGCGCTTAATGTATCCCAATGAGTTTTAGTTACAGTCTTGCACTATTCTCACAGCATCAGGGACTGTTGATGTCAAGGAAAAAAATAAGCTGTACGAGAGTTTGTCATTGTACGTCAAGAGTTATGGTTTGGATTAAGAGTGCAGACCCAGAAGGAGCTACAGCACATTTTGTTAGCAGTAAAACGTCAAATTTAAACATTTTTTATTTGTTTTAAAAAGCAGGTTGAGGGCATGTTTGCGTCCTGCTATCAACACTCTATCCTCGTCTCTAAACCCCACCCAGTCTTACCGAGCACTTGGTCCTGCACTGAACTGTCAGGGTCATCCAGGTGCAGGAGCAGCTGCTGAAAGAGAAGCTGCAGATGAGCACCGCAGAGCACAGGGTTGTAGTCTTTGGTCAGACTGGAAAACCACAGCCCCACAGCCTGCAGGGCCACACCGCGCACCTCCTTGCTGCTATCATCCAGACGCTTCAGAAGCTCTGTGGTAATAAATAAATAAATAAATAAATAAATAAATAAATAAATAAATAATGTTTTTGACTGCATCAGGTTTATAATGCAAAATGTCAGGTACTGACAGGTACTAGAAAGAAAGAACATATTTCACCCATACTGGCTTCTTCCAGGCTCTTTACCTTACAATTTAAAACGCCTTAAGGCAACAGTTTTGGTGCGATATAAATAAAAATGACTTGAATCGAGCCTGAACTGCATTCACACAAAATGACAGTGCACACTGTGACTTACCGGGGTAAATCTTATTGAGAGCCTCGTGGTGCAAACTGGTTCCTGTGAGTCTGAGTATGGAACACAGACAGCGACAAGCCAACAGTCGGCTCATCTGAGAGTCCTCCTCCAGGGCCGACAACACCAGGGGATGCATCCTCTCCTCCAGACTGATCAGCTGCGTACAGAACGGGCAGGGGGTCAAACTACATCGTTTCTAAAATGCAAGCCAACCAAGAAAGAAATTCTATCTCTACATAAGATGTCAAAGCCATTTTCATTTAGGGGTCAGTCAGCACCACATGAGGTTTTATTTGCTTAAATTGCGAAACATCAACCTGAAGTATAGCATTTACAGGTTTGGATGAGTTCACAATCACGTTGAGCTCGAGTCCAGCAGGAACTGATGTTTTAATCACACCGGCAGAGAAACAGACTGATGAACAAGGTGAGGCTCCAAGAAGTGATGGCTAAAACCTCTGTCGCCCAGTCTGTTTGCTATCGAAACCATGCAGGCGAAACAATAAAAAAAAGTAAAAAAAAAAAAAAAGAGAGCAAGGAAGGGGGGGTCAAAAAGAGGAGGAAAACTTGGCAGAGAAGTGATCCGGCATTACATCAGTGACAATCTGACGGTGCCAAGTGCAACTGGAGCTGCTAATTGTTTTCACAGGGAGCAGAGAGGAAACAATGTCCTTTTAAACGAGTCGCTGTCGAGTCGCCTGTGGAAAACACACATGACTTTCTGTTCTCGCATCGAACTGGATGTGTTGTTCAACTCAAACCCAAAATTTCTCTTTTCGAGGCTTTCCGCTCCTGCAATCATGGACACGTACGCCTACGTTCACACTGCCCCACCCCAGATATTTGCAGCTAAAGATGTCTGAAAAGCCCAGGTGCTTGAACTAGTTTAAAATGGTCACTCTGTGCACGCGAGGGCAAGTACTGCCAGATGTGCGGGTGCTTGTGCGAACGCACATACTGTAAACTCGGCACATGCTCCGGCAGGCAGGTGCAAGGGCATGTTCCGGTGACAGTTCCTACATATAACAAGGGCCCAGAACAGTGGAAGCATTGTTCCTCTGGGACAAAGGTATGCGAACCTGATTGCCCCCGCGTACACCTGCTACCTGCCGTGGCCAACTCTTTCAGCCAAGGAGAGAAAGATGGCGGACAATATATTTTCCTAAAAGGCCGAGTGGGACCGTCTATTTTGATGTGAAATGGACAAAACAGAGAATCTGAAGTAAATGTCAAGCCCTGATGGATTACAGGAATGCACTACCACATCTTTTCCTTTACAGAGTCAATAAAAAAAATTTCCTGCAGATTGGAGATCAAAAGTGCTGGAGGGAGCTCACATCCGGTATGTGCCTCCAGTGCTTATGAGTCACTCTGCACAGGTGGAAACAGAAAAAACTGTGCGCATCATACTATACATGTGATGGATTTGCTGATGTCCTTCAGTAAATACCTGTCCAGGTGTGATGGCACCTCCATGCAGCACTGCCAGCAGACAGCTGAGGGCAGAGGTGCGGACGGCAGCGGCGATGCGGCCTGCGTGCCACACCAGGTTAGGAAGCAGGATGTCACTCAGAAACCTCTCTGAATCGTCATGGAAACACCTGGGATGACGCACAGGAAGGGGGAAAAAGACACGATAAGTCAGCAGGAGTACAGAGAAGACATCTGCTTTAAGTACAATACAGCAACCGGCCAGCACCGAAACATTTCTGATGATGTGCAAATGTAACATGACTGCTGCAGCATTACAGCTATACCATCAATATCATGGACAGTCCTACACTCGCTGTCGTAACGCAGAAGGGGGAGGAAGGCAGCAGTGGAGAAAAAGCCTGACGCAATGACTAGAACATCTGGGTATCCTCCTTTCACTTCTCTCTGCCTCTGGCATCCATACCACAGTCTGCAATGCCCTTAACTGCAAACCAGCACGGGCCACTAGTTCTTCAGCTTATGCCACTAACCTGTCATATGCCACATGCGTTAAAGTGTTGCAACGATTCCCTGCCAGTAGAGGGGGACTGTGTGTCGCAAATACAGCAAGAATTGTGCAGCTGGATGGGCTCAGTCACCTTAACAGCTCATCACGAGTGATGCCAGAGGATGGAAAGACATATTCCCACATTACAAGGATGATGTCAAGTGGTTAGGGAAGCAAGATTTTGTGTTGTACTTACACATCTGTATGCATGCACACCCGTGCACGCAAGTGCTAGGTAATTTTGACTGTATACCTAATGGCTTTATATGTCCTTGAGCAATCTCTCAGAGGTAAGTGTCACTCAGAAGACAGCACAGCAGAAAATTGGTCTCAAAGATGGGGAAGGGAACAAGTCTCCTGGGCATCATTGGACAAAGAAATCCACAGTAACATTTTAGCATACATTAAGTGATCCAAGAGGAAAGCCGATCTACTCTGGTCTTTCTTACAAACCCCCATGGTTCCACACGTTACTCAATTACAGGTTTATTTAAATCAGATCAGAGCCTTCAGATGCAGTTGAAAAAAAGGTCATGTGGTTCATTTTCTGGCATGCTCCACATTGCACAACTTAAATCAATCATTAATAATGAAAAATGAAACTGAAATTATTTTAATATATATCAATTGGCACATTAACAGAAGTACACTACTGACTGTTTTTCCCCTAAATAAAATCATATGAATTTAACTATATTTCACTCTATTTTTAATCTGTTTTTCTAGACCACACCTGCAGTCACCCTACATCCCACATTCTGAGAACCACTGGATTAAACAGAAGTGAATTTTGAATCTCATGTGATGCCAACAGCCATCTTCAGACTGTGCTTTTTTCTGTAGTTGGTCTTATGCAGTGCACAGACCTCAAATAGATTTTGGGTCTTTCAAAATCATCATTGCACATACACAATGTGGACAACAAGATTGGACATCTTAATCTTGAAATCTGGTGTTTTCAGCCCTACTGCAACAAGTGTATAAAAGCAAGGTAGTCATGCAGTCTGCCTTTTCAACCATTTGTCAAAAAAAAAAAAATAGCTTGTTTGGAAGAGCTCACTGAACTTGAGCATGGTAATGCAACTGGACGCCCCTGTAGCAACAAGTTAGTTTGTACATTTTCTTGCAGCTGAGATATTCCACAATTAAATGTAAGTTCTATCATTGCAATGTGGAAGTGTTTAGGAACCACAGGAACTCGGCCACAAAGTGGCAGACAATGTAAAGCTACAAAGCGGGGTCACTGAGTGCTGAGGAGCAGAATGTGGAAAATTCACCAACTGTCTGCTGACTCAATAACTGCAAACCTCCTCCGGCATTAACATCAGCACAAAAACTTTGCACTGGGAGCTTCATGCCATGGGCTTCCATGGCTGAGGTAGGAAGGTACCCCAGCACTTTTGCCCAAATGATGGCGTCATGGTAGAAGGTAGGGCTGTGCGATATGACCAGAATCTCATATCCCGATATAAGAATTCTATCGTCCGGATAACGATATAAAAATCACAAAAATGTAACATTTTCTGTAAATTCTGTGAATCTCGGGCAGTTCGACTTGCGGGAAGCGTTTCCAGCTGCGCGTCATGTCGGAGTGTTTTAACTCCGAGTGAAACTATACATTTTTAGACATAAGTTGTAAAGGCGGCCGTTTTCTTTGTGAGTACTTATTACACGGCGTGCTGCGGGGAAAAGCCTGTTCTAACGTTTGAGTCTAAGGTTTATTTTTTAGCACCTGGCGGCTCTTTTTTTTAAAAAATTCTCATCCGTAAATAATCTGCTCTTTCGCGTGATTCCATTTATTTTGGAAAGTCTCAACAGGATCTTAGGGCTTTATTGTGAAAGGTTTATGCGGAACATAAATAAGCGGACACGCAATGCTGTTACCGCCGTTGTTGCTAACCACAACGCATAAAAACAGGCGCTTGTCCGTCTGTAGTGTGGTTATATAAAATATAAGAGAAAGAGAGAACTTTAAGAAATTAATATAGCCACTACAGTGACCATCAAAACCATGACAAAATATTGCCGTAAACAGTTTATTTTGCGACACCACAAAACAAACCATAGCGTAAAATGAAACGATAGACGTTTTTATATCGTCATCGATATATATCATTATATCGAACAGCCCTAGTAGGTGTATTGGAAGGTTTTTGGAATTTAGCCATATTATTATGCAATATTCATTTCAACTACCCTGTCATTTGTTTCATTCTATAATGTGTTATTACAGGGTCAATTCTGATAAAAGCACAGCTCAGTTTATTCTTTTTTCGTGTTACTAATTTATCTGCAATCAAAAAAAAGATAAGAAACCACATTTGGAACAAGAGAAAGAGCTCATCTCTTTTTCCCTCCCGTTTCATATCTTGAAACCTGACATTAAGACTAAAGACGTATCTATTGCATATCGTTCATGCATGAAAGCACACCGTTGTCTTCCTTGTAACTCAGATTATTTTGTCCAGCCGCATACGGTGGAGAACAGAGGCACACACTTTCATTTCTTACACAACACCTTCTACTTAGATTTCATACTCAGCTTTTTAATCACGACACACAAATCCACATGAAACAAAAGTGTTATGAACGTGTGCGGATGAAAGGCACGTGAACGCACACAAACTTTCCCTTTCAGCTTGTTCCATAGCTGCGCTGTCATTATGCCATTTTGGTTTCAGAACAAAGACGAGAGGTTTTCTCTATGACTATCATTGTGCTCTTGATGACATATAGCGCGTGTGTGGCCTGCAATCTGCCAAGCATCAAGACCAGTCCATAAATCATGAGGGGAGAGGACTTTGGCAGAAGGCAAAGCCCCGTATAGGATAATTTAAGTTCACACTATATGAATCTGAAACCTTTTGAAGGTATACCATGATTTCCGTCATACTGAGGGTTTGTGATTACAGGAGATATAGCTCAGGGATGAGTGAACCAGTTAGCAGTGCAGGTGGCCACGTTGGAAGTGAAGAGACAGACTTCTTTTGTGCGATATGCCAAATTATGGATTAAAAAAACAAAAAATCTCACGAAAGCTGAATATCCAACTTCCACATTTTTGGCAAAGATGGCAGAATATTCTGGCTCAAGAAGACCTCCTGTTTATGTGATACTTTTCACTGAAATACATTATGTTGCCTTCTGCTGCCGCTGCCAACTCGAGCCAAAGGGGACTTCTAGTGTGTTCCCATACAAAGATTAGCACTAGTTTCTTCCTCCTATTAACAAAACAAACTTTCTGACTGCAGCTTTAAGATTAGTTACACACGACACAGATGTCTCCGTCTGAGGTTTTCTTTCTGATCGACGGGAGCAGCTGCTGCGAGGATCTCGGGTTTAATGCATTCCATCAGACGCAACCCCGAGCCCATACTGAGGGCTGCACAGCTGAGGGCTCAGAGGGGACCCTGTTGGGGTGGTGTTGGCGTGGGGGGTGGATGTCAGACATCCCTGCTAGACCCCCTCATATCTCCTTAAGCAGTCAATAACCATTCAAATTAGCGATGAGAGATTCAGGCAGCATGCGCCGTTTGCTTCAGGCAAGCTGTGAAGTGATTAATTAATCAGCGTTAGTTGATCTAATACTCCCAATGAGACCATCTGAACTCAAATGGGACTCCCCTGCAGTCTGTATGGTGAATGAGGAATGTGGTTTATAATTTCAGGATGACTGGGCTTCTTACTGATTTTAGCAGACAACATCACATAACCCTAGCTTCTCTCCATTGGCTTCCTGTTTGTTTTACAATTGATTTTATGACTTTTTTATTTTAAAAAAAAAAAATTAAAGTATGTCTGGGCCTGGTGCCCAGCTATGGAGCAGAAATTATGACCTTGTGGCTTTGGAATTACCTGCCTGAGGAGAAATGTTTTACAGATTCAGAGATTCTTTTAAATCCCCGGTTCTGGCAGAATCGTTTAGACTTTTTTTCATTGTTTTCATCCATTTATTTATTTTTTTGATGGCATTTTGGAGCCTCCTAGGAGAGCCATTTCAGGCATGTCCTGCCAGGAGGAGGCCCCCAGGGAAGACCCAGGACTCGCTGGGGAGATTATATCTGTCGGCTGGCTTGGGAACGATTTGGTATCAACCCACTGAGATTGGTGCCCCAAAGACCCTAGCCCAGATAAGCGGTAGAGGGAGCGAGGAAAGATGGATGGATGGCATTTTGCATTTGTCCTTATTATTTTACATGAAGATTTCTGGATGTAAACATAGTGGAAGCGTTCTGATTTATATTTCTTGTCTGTGTGCAGTTTGAGTCGTACTGACTAATCACATTTGACCAGGCCTTGGTTGCATGCAAGTAAAACTGTCCATGTAGAGAGAAAAAGGAGTACAATTTCACGCAATGATGTTTTACCCACGTAAAAATTATTTTCACTAGTAAACAACGACCAAGATGTGAAACTGGAAATCTTGGCCTTTGGAATATTAGTTAATTTACATTATCTGATATTCCGAATATCCTGGCCACACTGAAAGCTCCAAAATATTGGCCGTTGCCTCAGACGTTTTCCTGTTGTGTGTCAAAAACACTCTGCAACCTCTGTTTTTATAGGTGTGAATATAAAGCTAATTATCATTACATATGAATATGAATCCTATCACCAACCATCTCAAACAACTTCTACAATTACTCATTTTGTGCATGCAGTCCTAATTATGGTTCCTTGTTAGCATGTTTTGAATGAACACAGTGATGTAAAATCCAGAAAGTGTAAACTAAAACTGATTAGTTGGAAATTTAAAGTCTGAACCTCATCCAGAGAAAAGGATGAAAAAGGAAACAGCAAATGAGCGTGCTGTTAAGTGTGAAATATTCATGAACGTCAGACAGAAACATCTCATTCCCGAGTTCTGTTCTTTAGTGTGAACACGTGTCACTCTCACCCCTGAGAATCCAGTGTTTTGTTTGCATCCAGCAGCAACTTTGCAAGCATTGTGAAGATGCTCATCCTCATCTCTGGGTCTCTGTTTGGTTGGAGGCAGTTATGGAGAAGAGGCATTAACTGGCTCAAAAACTCGCCGATCACTGGACCTTTAAAAACACAGACAAAGTTGCATTACTACAAATAACATTTCTTTTTCTGGTCTAATACACTTTTGCACAAAAAGGAGTTGCATGAAACTGTAGATGCTGACTTTGTGTGGCCTGTATTTTAATCACTAGGCCACCATATGCCATAGGCTCCATTTATTTATGCAAGGACAAGGACAAAGCTATTCCAGGTCTACCTGCTACCTTTGTAATGCAGATGTTTGCAAAAGAACTGGGTGAATTTGTGACAGTGGGGACAGTAAGTATTAAAAAAAGGCTCATTGGTGTACCTCAGTATGACCTCAAAACACCTCAAAGCCTTCGCCAAAGGCATACTGAATGTTTTTTTTAATCCAGTGATGACAAAAACATGACTGTACCCATCTGAACTTCAGTATCTCACTTTAATGTATAAACTTTGATACACCACCACATGACACCATGTGAATATGTAAGGGGAAACTCTGTGGATAGACATGCACAGTGGCACTGCACCCTTAAAATAAAAAGGTTTGTATACAGTATAAAGCTAAAAAACAAATTAAAGTAGTGTAATGCGGCTTCAAAACACAATAAAAGTTCATTTCTATGCCATTTAAAATTCAAGTACTGATTTGGAGGGACAGAATATTCAAACTTGATTTTCACATTTTAAAAAAAACTTAGACTGCCTTTATAAAATGTGTGCAACAGTGGAGAGTGGACAAAAAGGTGGGGACAGAGAGTTAGGGGAAGACACGCATCAAAGGTCACCAGATCGAACTCAAACCCCACCTGCTGCCTTGCAACCTATGCTCACCTGCCCACCCTGTGAGCTAAACTGGCGCCCTAGAAACAGATTTCTGATGAACACGAAAAAGCTGCTTTGCGCTGCCATATTTAATCAAATCTCCTGTGTTCTCATACCTTTCCTCAGACCAGCTGACTGTGCGTTCTGCATGAAAGAAAAAAAAAAATACACACAATATAATTAATATAATATATATATAATGATATATATATATATATATATATATATATATATATATATATATATATATATATATATATATATATAATATATATATATATATATATATACATACATAAATACTATATATATTTAAAGGAGATGCCAAATGCTGTCATTTTTCTGTAAAGCAAATTTACCTTGTCTTTGGGTATAAATAAAGTTACCTTGACAATGGAAATTTCAGTGTCCAGAAAGACTGTTGTTCAGCCTAATTCTCGCATTACCAATATAACCATTATCACTACTTCAGCAGTGCTTAAACCTGGATTCTTCATCCAAAGGACTGAAGTTCATTCAGTCTTTCAGTCTTATTTTTACCCAACTACTAAATGCTAAATCCCTCCATAAAAAGCAACAGAGCTGGTTTTACAGAGAAATAATATATTTGCGTTTGTGAATTTTCTCAACAGGACTTTGTCAGGACAAAAAAGAAAAAAAAAAAGCCCCTGTTTTTTGCTTTGTTCTTACCTTTTTAAAAGGCACTGACCATATTGTTGAGTTATTAAAAACCGTGGACTGGTGAGGCATTAACACTGAGTCAGAGGAAATGAGATGTAAGAAGATCTTTGTGCGCCACTGTGTTTATACAAATGTCTTTTACAGGAAAATGAGAAATTCACCGGGCAAATATCCCCAGTTACATTCATGCCTACGCACGCTTATCCACTTACAGTCTTGCAGCATGTTTACACAGCTATATATAGTGATCTCTCTATGTGTAATGAGCGATAAGTGTCCAAGCCCTGTTTGGACAGACAAACAGAGTTCATGACCTGTTTATACAGACACGAGTGGAGACGGAGGAAATCCTGACATGGCCCGGGGATGCTAGCCAGCGACATAAAAAGATATGGGAAAACAGGCAGGCCTTTTCCATCCAAAGGGAATTTGTGAATCAATCAAGAATGTGTTATTTAAGCAGAGGGAGCTCAAAATGACTACTGATGTGGCAAGGCAGAAACAGAATATTTTGATTATAAACAATTAAAAAACAATCAGCATCTATTTTATCCTTTAACAAGAGAGAATGGGAGTGAGAGAGATTGTGAGTACTGCGCCATACTACATACAAGCAGACATTCTGACACCAGCTGGAGAACAAAAGACTGAGGAGGATATGAGCAGGCAATAATTATTCCTGTCTCTTACAAACACAGATGGAGTGTTTGAAGAGCTGATGAGCAAGCAAAATGACCAATTCTCAGTTGTCATATCAACTACCGTCAATTGTCCAAAAGGGACCCAATTTTCCTGAATCATGTGGACATCAAACACAGTGATAAAACGATAACACGACTGTCTGTTTTGCTGCCCGTAGCAAAGTCCTTGGGATGTGTTAATAGAACATCTGCAAGAATGAAGCGAAGGTTAACCCTGGAAAACATTTTGTGCAGTTCTGCTTTTGATTTCATGCTATTTTGGCTGTGCTGAATTAACATAGCTCATATTTGCAAGACAATGCATTTTATTTATTTCTTTTATTTTAGAATTGTCTCAGTTCCTTAAATTAGCTTAAAATGGTTAAGTGACGCAAAAACCTCCACATTTCATCCTCAGCCCCCCCCCCAAAAAAAATGCCCCACTGAAAATACAATTTTTGATCCCACATTTATCTTGACATCAACTAACAAATTTCTTTATGTTAGGATTTTATTTTGGACCACTCTTAAATTTTTATGTTTGCCCACCAGGTGGCGCTACTTTTTACAATTCAAAGCATGCAGTAAAATTTCAGAGGTTTTTTTTCTGTTTCCCTCAAGGATACCTTGCTACTGAAATCATAAGTGTGTCCAGGTATTGATGTTAAATTATGGTTTGTTTGTGTGTTGGTGTACTGTCACGGCTGCACAGCAGTCGTGTGGTGTATTGAAAAAAGGATCCAAGATGCAGGCACTGACTGGGGTGCGAGTGAATGTTTATTTGCAGAGGTGATAAGGTGACAAACACAGGAGGAGCAGAGCAGGGAGTAAACCAACCTAAACTGGGGAAAACTAAAGAACTCAACTTAAACCAAACACGCACGGGAGGAGGAACAAAATACACAATGAAAGATGGCGGAGAGACGCAGACTGAACACTGGGTTACACAGAATGATGCAGACGGACATGGCGTTAAACAGACGACGCGACAGAGAGCACAGGAAAACACAGGAAAACACAGGGCTTAAATACACGGGGAATAATCAGGGAATGGGCCACAGGAGGGAGACACAGCTGGGAGCAATTAGGCTAACGAGACAGGGGAGAGGTAAAACTGAACACACTGACATGAGACATGAACTTTCAGAATAAAACAGGAAACTTAACAGACACAGAGAACCAGACAGGACACTGAACTTGACAGGCAGACTCATGAGCAGACACAATAACACCATGGACAGACAGAGGGAACACAGAGAAGTGGGAGCAGGCAGGCAAAGTATTTGGACATAGTCCAAAAAGGCCCAGACGGACAAGTTCAGGGGACCGACCCAGAGGCCGACAGAGCCGGAGGCCAAAACAGTTCAGTTCCGGGGGCCGACCGTGTGGAAGGCAGCGGCAGTGGGGCAGGTCCGGAGGCCGGCCACGCAGTAGGCAGTGGCGTGGAAACAGTTCTGGGGGCCGACCGTGCGGACGGCAACAGCGGCGTGAAAGCAGTTCTGGGGGCCGACCGTGCTCACGACAGCGGTGGCGACAATGCAAGTCCGGAGGCCAGCCACGGTGGCGAAGATGCCCAACATGCGTCCTGGCAGATGACCGACGATGTTGAGGCGGCAGCTGGGGACCAGAAGGCTGCGTGGCCCCCGCAGTACCAGGTAAGAAGGAGGCTGGACCAGACGAGGCAGTAGCAGAGGATGGACCAGGCGAGGCAGTAGCAGAGGATGGACCAGGCGACGTTGAAGCGGATGTGGAGGCTGGACCAGGCGGAAGCGAAGCCGAAGCTGAACCAGGCGAAGTGGGTGAAGCTGAAGCAGATGTTGGATCGGGCGATGCTGAGGATGCTGAAGCTGGAGCTGGCGACGGCGTGGGTGAAGCTGAAGCTGGACCAGGCGACGGCGTGGGTGAAACTGAAGCTGGACCAGGCGAAGCTGAGGCAGAGGCTGGACCAGGCGAAGCTGATGAGGAGGCTGCAGCTGGCGAGGATGATGAGTCTTGAGGCTGGACGGGCTCCTCGGGCCCTCCAGCTGACGAGGCAGGAAGCTGGACGGGCTCCTCGGGCCCCCCAGCGAAGACAGTCTCAGAACCAGTGGGCACCGGAGCCCCTGGCACACACAGGACAGAACCAGCAGGTGCAGGGACCTCTGGCAGGGACAGAACAGGACCAGCAGGCACATGGGCCTCTGGCAGAGACACCGGTAACTGAAACTGCGCAGGGCACTGGCTTTGCCCAGGCAGCGCTGGCATGGTGCAGTTCTTAGCTGGTGTCTTGGCCTCCAGGGGTCCAGAGTCGGCTGAAGGCAGAAACTCAGCCTCTGGGGAGGCCCTGGGGCGAGTAACAGTCTCTAAATTAGCCAGTTTCTGAGAAACTACAGTGGTTTTAATGGGTTTGTCTCTCCGCTTAAAATGGGTGCTAGGAACGGGATTCAAAATGGGTGGCACAGACACAGCCTCCAGTATAGAGGGAGCGGGTGACCGGGCTAATGGAATCGATGCAGGCTGGGCTAATGAGCTGGCTAAAGGCTGATGTACTGGTTGAGGTGAGACTGGAGTTGGTGGTGGAATAGATGAAACCCAGTCAGTTACTGTTATGGATGTTTTGAAAATGCCAACTTGTGAGAGGTCAGTTACCACGAAGGTAGGTAAGCGCCGTGTACTGTCTTTACCCTCCCCATGAACAGCCCCAGAAAACACAGTCCCAGAAGCACCAGCGTCCTTAAAACTCACCACAGCTGGTCGCACAGGAGTCCCTGAATCCGGCTGTGGGGTTTGCACATCTTTGTGGGGACCAAAAATTGGAATTTTACTATACTTGTAGGGACCAACAGCCCTTATGGGGACAATCCCCACGAGTTTGAAGGCATTTTTGAGAATCAAAATGTGGTTTAAGTGTCAGGGTTAGAGTTTAGCTAAGGGTTAGGCATTCATTTTTTATAGTTAGGAGTAGGGTAAGCATTATGTCAATTAGATATCCCCAGTAAATGATAAGTAACTTTACAGAGCTTCAAAGATGTCTCAGCAGCAAGAACACACACAAAAAAAAAAATTTGACTTTTTTGAAAATTTGGTTCTTGCTCAGGCAGTTTATGCAGCTGCACTGCAGCCATGGTTAGAAGTATGAACAGTACCTCATCCTCCTCTGAGCACTCTGAGGCTGACGTGGAGGCCTCAGAGGTAGAAACAGACGCAGTGACAGGTTGGACCTCTCCATCTCCATATTTTGGTTATCCCCATATTTTGTCTCCCACAAAGACTGCAATGCCCTGCTACATCCCAGGAGCCAGAGGTTTGACCCCAGGACCGACACACCCTGCCACCAGCTATGCACTGGTGCTGACGGATGAAATCCTGCAGCAAATTGTGGTTATGAGAACCTGAAAGGAAGAACTGCTTATGTAGAGATGCTCATGTTGGATGGTGTTTATAGGTCAAAAAAAAAAATCAGTTCTAATCTGCAGGGTGCTGCTGCAAGCCCCTTTCATCAGCAAATGTAAGGGCAGTGTGACCTTTGCACAGACAGAAAGAGAAGAGCTGGCAGCACCACGTGGAACGCATATAATACTTTTACAGCCATTTGTTTGTGGAAAGGTGGTATTACTTTCGTTAGGATGAGTTAAAAAAAACAAAACAAATCTGACTCTGTATTAAAAATAAAAATGCATGAAAATAAATAAATATAATGACAATATAATCCTTGAAATGTAGTTTATTTTATTAGTTTGTTTTTTTAATTGAAAAAAACAAACAAAGAGTGGAGCTGTGCAAACATAATGGCCTTTAAAGGGTTAAAAAGAATGATTAATCATCTTTTATACATTTCAGGCTGAAGTAGTTTTAGAAGACTGAGTCATTTAAAGTACAAAGAAAATCTTACTCTATAATATTGCTACAGCGGTTTTTGGGAAAGTGGCATTTTGTCGCTTTAGGGTAAAAAGAGTCCGTTTTTTTAAGGCTCATCTAAAGATTAAAGCATTATTCATTATGAAAACAAAACACACCTTTACACAGACACGCACATGGACACACAAACACTGAGCTTCAAAGTGTCCTTGATCCAGGAGAAGGTCAAGAACAGGCAGCTTTGCTGCTGTTTGATGTAGTGACCTGCACAGGGATCACTGGACTTAGAGTGGACTGGTCAGTAAGTGTGTGAGAGTCTGTGAAAGAGTAAAAGAGAGAGAGCATGTGTGTGAGTGTGTGTGTGAGAGAGAGAGGGGGGGGGGGATTATGTGAGGGGGGGACCCAGCTGCCCAGTCAATTAGAAAGGGAGTAGTGAGATGGAGAAAGAGATGGAGATAAAAGCGTGGTGCAGGGAGGTGGTGATGATAGAGGGTTTTATAGGATAAAGGGACGCAAAGAGAAGTCTCAGAACCAAACCGAGGGTCACAGCTTTTAACCCTCTGTGTCATCCACATACACACACTAACTGCTTTACAAACAGAAGGGAAGACAGAGATGTACAAAAGTCAGGAAGCCAAATTCTCTCCTGTGTGGACAGTCACTCACAGGGATTGATCTTAGACAGTGACAAAGTATGCGCTGCCTTGGGAACTGTCAGGTATTAACTAGCATAATTTTTTTTATCCTTAACATTCGACTATCGACATGGATTGTGCCGACAGCACTGACATCAGCTCTGACTGCTGAGATTAGGACCTCTCCAGCTTCTCTCAGGAGGAGTTGGGACCAGCAAGAACCAATGAGAGGTGGTAGGATGTGTTTTCATGATTCCGCCTGCTTCTGTGCATGCAGGACAAAGACAACAATACAAACAAAACCCCCCAAAAACCCAAAGCTATCCCAACTATTTGTGCAGTAAAGCATATGTGCGGCCTTCAATATGGACTACATGTGAGGGACAAATAACCTTATTCTTAAAATATGATGTAGCATATCATGTCCGAACAAGCTGAAGAATTACTACCACATGAGGTGGACGTGAACCTGCTCAAACTGATGGATGTAGTGATTTTCTTCATGAGGCAATTCGAAGTACCCATGTCTTAAAAACCTTACTGCATATTTTTTTTCCTCCACTTTTACCACTGTAGAGTCTATACATGCAAAGACTTCAGCACCTGCAGTATAAAGTGGCAATATTTTCCACACATACAAGCTTCAGCTCTCACCTGATTGTATGACTACGATATGCAGCTGAAGTCTCTCTGGGGAGTAACTGGACCAGGTGTTGACAGAGGCAGACAGCCAGTCCAGCAGCTGGCCCATATGTTGTCTATAGAGCTCCATCACCGAGTCCAAGCCCTGCACCTTACACAAGAACTGCACACTCTCCAACGCCTGAAGAAAAGAGGGGGTAGGTGGAGCAAAATTAAGTCAACATAAGTTTAGACTGCAAGGTTTACTTGAAATCATGAAGTGTCTATAAAAAAAATAAAAAAAATCAAACAAAAAAAGCAGAACTCTGAGCGGGAGTAAGGCTTAGCAAAGATGAGACAAAGTGATAAGAGAACTATTTCAGCTGAACAGCTACTGGTTTCCAATAATTTCAGGAATTCGGATGAGACACAAAAGCATCGTGTGAAGCCATGGGAAGAATAACAGAGCAGACATGACAGGGTCTCACACAGACAACCACTCAGAAACTAAAACATAGATACACAGGATGTCACAAAGGCACAGGAACCGCCAGTACATGCACACACACATCAATAAAGCTGAGCTCAGAGGAAAGGGAAAGAATGAAAGAAAAAAGGGATAGTAAATACTTAGCTGACTTCTTATGGCAGGGAAACAGACCTATGGGGCACTTAATAATTCCCGTTGTAGTCCCTTAGGGATGGACGGGGACAGATACATTGTTTGAGTCACAAATCGGCTCTTTCAGAAGAGAGCCAGACAACCCTGAGCTGTCCGCTGATGGGAAAGACATGCCCCTTTTCTGGGAAAACAAGTTCTTCTTTTCCTCTGGGTCCGGGAATGCCCAAGGCCATTCTCACCATTCCTCTCTTTCTTAATCCATTCCTTCCCATCTCTTCTCTACTCACTGCTCCCTGTGTGAACATACACACTGATGCAGACAGACATAAACACACAGTCACACTGGTGGCCCATGTGGTGTCTGGTGAGCATCTGTGCCAGTTCCTTCCCGCTCCTCTCCCTATCATTACCCTACGATTGGCGACAAGAAGTTAGATGACATGTTGACCTCAGATGCCACTGGCTTCACTTGTCACTGGTCCTGTTTGTGCTTGGCATGTGGAGCCTGACCACAAGATGAGAGGTAATTTATTACCAGGATATGAGATGGCTTTTTTTCACCTGAGAAGGCTTTATGGAACTAAACGGGGCTTCACTTCTGACACAAACCTGTGTCACAAGTGCAACACAACTCATCCCTCTCCACCCCTATTTCTGTCCGTTTCTTTCATTCTCCACCTTTCCCCCGCCTCCTTTCCACAAAGACTGGATTTAAAGTTCCACTCCAAAGGTGCAATTTCAGCTCCCGTGGCTAAGTGGGTAATTATACAGTTTGAGCCCATGTAAATGCTTACATTCCTCGAATAGCTCTCGTGTCATAAAACCTGCTTACCTTTCTAGTAAAAAAAAAATTGAAGGGGAAAAACAACAAGTGAAGGGGAAGATTGTGTAATTTCAGAGCAAAATATAGACGAGAGCTGCAGGAAGGATGGATCTGGATCTGTGACTTCATGATGTGGATGTTTTCTCACCTTTTCGCTCAGCTGTGGCTCAGTGGAGAAGCTCTGGACAGCGATGAGCACTTGGAGCAGCTGCAGGCTCCCTGAGCTGCAGTCTGACTCACACTGATGCAGCAGCACATCCACACACGCCAGCAACTGCTCCAAGTACATAACCTGTGAGAGGCGTGGTAGGAATGCATTATTATTAAGACTGTCTTTTCTTTGTGAATTCTAAGAAGCAATCCCGCTTTTTTAACCTGGTGACATCATTCTGGAACAACTAAATGGCCGCTTGTCTCATGTTTCCTACCAGTAATAACAGATGAACAAGATACACAGTAACACAGAGTGAGAACTTTTTTCCCCTCATCTGAAAACACACAAGTGTGTGTGCGATTGCTGACACTTGTCAGGCAGTGTTGTGGTGAGCTCATGTTTAGACAAAGACCTGCAGGTCAGACTAATTTCCATGCCATCACTGGGACCGTGGCCCTTTTTTCCCCCTTGTTTTCACACAGCCTGTCATTAGGGTGTCAAGGGGGTAGAGTTAGAAGGAGAGTGAGGGGTGGAAGGTGTAAGTGTGATTGAGAGTGTGTGATTTTGTATGAGTTGTTAAGAGGAAGAATGCCCTCCAGGTGTTTGCTTTGGTCTGCAGTTAGACCGGTTGGGTTTTGAAATGGTTTTGGTGGTAGTTGGCTAACTAGCACTAGGTGGTGCACTCTCTTTTCCCAAATTTGAATCTTGGGATTAATTTCCAAGCAATCAGGGGTTACAGCAAAGTCATATAGCAATGCAAAAATAGACTAGAACAAACACTTAAACACAACTTGCCTGCTGCACCATACACCGGTCTTTGAATGCATTTCTCGTGTCATTGACCAGGGTGGGGTGGGGGGGGGGATACCTTCTTATGACTGAGCTTTTCACTGGGAAATACACACAGCAGGGGCACCAGGGAAGCAGTACTGGAAATAACGCGGCACACACATTCAGATGCTGCATATTAAACATTCGCAGAAAACAACGATTAGGGCTGGCCGAGAGTGAGGGAGCGGAAAAAGTGGTGCGGTGTAATGACTAGGTGGACACCTGGAGCAGGTCGAGATACACCTGGTTTTATTGGTCTGGGCACGTTCCAGGGGCCCTCATCACCTCGCGTACGTGCATCTGTCCACCGCTGGATGCATCACTTACGATACTCCTCTTTAAGAAGCTATACTAGGACCTGGAATTTCTATCCAATGGGGAACCCCCCCCACTCCACCAACAGCTCCCGACATTGCTATAGAAACAGAAAAACAAACACTGGGAGTAGATGCAATATCGACCCTTTGCAGTGAGCTGAAAGTTGCTCTTATGCCTTTTTTGCACTCTTTGTCTGCCCTTCAGTTGAGCAGTGAGCGGTACCCAGCTGTCGCTGATGGCAAGGTGCATGCACACAGGAGACTCGCTAATGTATGAAAGTACGCTTGCTTGTTCAGCAGAATAGTTGATGTTGCGACATTGCGAAGCTTCTCCGTGTGCAGACAAGATGAAAAGACCTTTCTTCTAAATCCTGGCTGTGAAACTCACAGAGCTCTTCCAGCTCTAACTATCTTTACCAATCCACACCAGCCCTGCAGATGTGCTGATGTCTCTATCACCATGGCAGCCTAAAACACAGGGACACCACAGCTGTGAAAGGTGTGTATGATATGATCCACTGCGGCCATGTGGGAGTCATAAGAAAACATAAATTTCACATCTGAACACGGTGGCTTCTTTAACCACCCTCTTTCATGTCCGCTCAAGCTCCTGAAATCATCTTCAATTTATAACCAAAAGTTTTTTTGTTTTTCCACGAAGCATCTGTCATTTATTTTTGTGAGTCGTCCCACCCCCCTTTCTCAAAATAAAGAAAAGAAAACACAGCTGAAAGAGCCTGTGAGGTTATGTCGTGCAGAAGCATCATATATCAGCTCCTTACAGGGCCTTCAAGTCGGCCTACGCTCACTTTGAAGTTTATTTATATTTAATTTCTTAACAGGCTTCATTGTGTTCAAGTCAGACTTCACCTTCTCCTTTTTCTCTGCCTCTTGTTCAGGTGCCACATAACTCTCTGAAGACTGCACTTATATTTTTAAGTCCTTTAAATGTCTATATTTATAAAAAATTAAGAATAAAATAAGGTTCTGAGTGTGCCTTGCTTTCTATGCTGCCATTGTGCCTGCAGCTGAACAAACTTTTATCCAATAATAATCAAAAGCAGGTCAATCTAAAGGTATTTGGCATTTTAGCGCAGAGAGATCACCGCCATCCTGAACGCAGGTGGTCCTGTCTCCGTTGGTGTTATTTACAGCTACACGGAGATCTGGCCCGTCTCCATGCTATGAACTCTGTCTGTTGTCAAAGAATGTTGCAGGTGCTTTGTCTCTGCCACCTCCCCTGAGCAGTGCTCTGTGCTTTGCCCTCAGAAACAGAGGAGGAGACTGACAGAGTAAGATAGATGGAGAGACAGACAGAGAGGAAGCAGAGGTCTCCCTGCATCTGTGCGACAGCATGTGACTGTCCCATCCGGTTAATTCTTTTTCTGGTTGACCCCACCAGACAGCAACGAGGGAGGACAGAAGGAGGTCAGTTTCCGTATTCATTTATCACCAGCCTTGACCAGTCAGGCTTTGAAATTTCAGGGATTCCTTGAATGGCATGGCTGAACTGCAGTCTGGCGCTAGGAGCTCGCCTGGCTATTAAAAAACCAAAAACCAAAGCCTTTGCGTTGCCTTGCCTGCTCAGAGGGGTCACAGCAGTCATCCTGGGGTCACATGAATTAGTGATTTTTTGTTATTATTATCTCAAGGAGGAAATTCTTGCAGGGCACTACGAGAAGGGATGGGGTCATGGGTATAGGTAGGCCCGTCGTGCGGTTATCTGGCAGACAACTGTTATTGTGAAAGGGAAACATATTTGGCGCTAGAGGAAAAGAGGCATGGAAATGTCTGCTCCGCACACGATAGGAATTTTCCTCTTATTTACAAAGAAAGCCCAAATGTATTTCAGTCACAGTTCATAGCTGCGATTGAGCAGAGGCGGTGCCATCAAAGTGCAATGCTAGATTTGAAAAACACCATGTGGCCCTGAGTGTCACCTTAACAGACTTGGCATTTTGGAGAATTCCTCCACAGTGAACCTCCTGAACTCACCCCATACAGTAGAGCTATTGAAAAGCCTTGAAGACTTTCACCTTATCATCAAACTTATTTCCATAACGGACAAATTACACCAGAAATATATACAGTAGACGATTGCTGCAAAGTCACTGCCAATAATAAGAGCGCTAAGGTACACAGAGAAAGCAGAAAATGACCCTTTATGACACTGCCAAGATCATCTAACATGACTTTAAGAGAAACAGCTGGTGCACACAGACTAGCTGGGATGGGGAAAATCAAAACATGGCTTCCTGTGAGGGAAGGTAAGCTGTCATCAAAACAAGTGTGATTTTAATGTTTTAACTTTTTCAACGTGTCCCTCCCTTACTAGTAAACTTCATACTGGAAATCAGCTAAAAAACAGTAAGAGAATGTGTTTGTAGTGGGCGAGCAGGAGGTACATGGCATTACTGGAAGAACACTCATACTCAGGTAAATAAGTTCAAAACAGGCCAACCACAACGAAACCCGAGCTTCCCTCTGCTGACCTGTTGATATCCCTGGCACACATCGGGCTGGGCCAGAGCGTTGGCGACCTGCTGGATGTGTGGTTTAAGGAGGGGCCTGGAGCATCCTCCGAGCACGGCAGCCAGGACCATGAGGGGGGCCCAAGGGTGGGAGGAAGAGTGTGGGCTGGCCACGTGATCCAGCAGCAGTTTGAGGAAAACAGGTGGAGGGACAAAGGTCCCTATCAGTTTAGCAGCTGCCAGACACTGAAGGTGGAAACAGAGAGGAAGAGAGTCAAGAGCAGAGACCTGAGGGAGTGTCGAGGATGATGAGTTTTCCACACATCAAAGATCAGCGTAATCCTCATATGCAAACAGGTGCATCCCAAGTCCTTGAGCCCTGATTGGCCAAGTTTAAATATAGAAGCATGTTTAGACTGACATGAAGAATAACTGCTGACTCAGAAGAAACAGTGCTATTTTACAGTATGTGCAGATGTGAAATTTACTGAATTCCACAATCAAACAAAAAAATCTTTTAAAAAGTGATGTATAATGTGCTCTACTTCTCTGGTTACTCACATTGTTGACTACGTCCCTCTCGCTATCTGTGCAGGCCCGATAGAGGGTCGCCAATAGGGCCGGCAGGTGCTGGATGCAATGGTCCTCGGCGTGGAGCAGCAGCACTGAGAGAAGCTGAGAGGTCTTAACCCGCGTTGGCACAAGCCAATCGGTCACATCGTGTGTGATAGCCGGTACCAGCTTCCCCAGATTTCTCACAACCAGCTCTCTGCAGCCTAACCCTGGACGCTCCACTGCAAGAGAAATTGAAAAATTCACCTAAGCATACTCTGCCACTGTTTGTAATCTGTATTTTCTTTGGAAAAACTCATGTTTTCCGTCTCATTCACTTAGCATTAAGATGGAGAGTTCCAACAGAAAATAGCAGATAATAGAGAGAGATTTGCTTTACAAATTTACTGAACACTCTCCAGGATGCTAGGTTGTGATCAAAAGTATCTCAAATATCACACTAATATAGATATCAAGACCCATAATCCAAAATATTTTCTGTTCAGAGTACATTGCATATGCTTAATTAATTTATGTGTAATCTACGTGTGAAATCATTTTGTTACGCACATTGTTATGAACTATATGAATCCTTAAAAAGAGCATTTACAGCACAAGAAATGCCACTGATTCACATATTTTCAAAAGTGTCCTGAGTGGGCTCCACATTCTCTAGAAAAACCCTCAAAACCACTTTTTATGACTGAGATTCCGCCAAAAGGGGCTTGTCAGAGCAAGAGTTAACACTTTTCCATATAGCCTTCTACATTTCACTTTTGCTTGTCTTTCTTTTCACTAACCTGCCACCTTATTGCCCTTCTCCTATAGGCACACTAATGAGAGAGGAAGGGAGGACTAAAGGAAGCCAGAGATAAATCAGAGAAACACAACAGGACAAGACCAAACAAGGCCCTTTCTGGTTGTCTCTCACTGTTTGACAGTGACCTCTTCACACTGGGAGGCCCGGCAGATTTATGATCACAAGACAAAAATGGAAAGAAGGACAGAGAGAAACGTGCTCTTCCTTTCCTGTCGCCAGGCAGAACCAGTATTCATTCATACTGTCCCATGTGGAGCAGTGTACAGGATCTTCTTTTTAAAAATGCAGACTTGTGCAACCGAGCTGTGCACATATTTGTCCTGGCCCTCTAGGCAAACTGCAGGCCAACTATTGTGGCCATGTTTCAGGTTCATATTGCTACCAGGCCCGAGGCAAACACTAATCTTTCCAAGCCAGTACCTGCCTTGACAACAAAGCTGTCATAGACTGCATCATTTCTTCTTACTGTACATTATAACTATGAACAGCTGTAATAAAGAGACAAGATTTAGTGGAGTAGGGTGCAGCTATTACATTTAGCTTTACGCTGACATGCAGCTGCTTTAAGAACTTTGAGTCTAGACAAGAAAGTAAAACTCCATATACAGAAAGCTTTCTAATCCCTTGTCTCACCACCTACGCGGAGTCGAGGTTGATGCATTACACCGATGCCACCCACTCCACAGCTTATTCTTGTCTTATTTACTAAGATATCTAGATCACAAACAACAACAGCTTTTAGAACTACTGAGATGGAGAAAAATGTCAATGTCAAAGTTCACCATTCACTCTAGCTTGAACTCTTTACATTATTTACCAAAATACCCAACTGGATGACCACACTCCTTAAAAATTGTAGCATAGGGAAGAAACAACACCTTCAGACCTTCTGATGGGTAATGTGGAGGTGGAGTGAGAAGGAAGTCCATTTTGTCCTTGATGTCATCTTCATTCTCCTTCTCCCACTGTGCGCCTACCTGCTTCCACAGATCAACGGCTAGAAGTCTGAAAGAGGAAACGGAAAGAAATATTATTTCTTACTCATCCTAAATGAGAAATAATAGTATGGTCATTGTTGTTTGCACTATATTTCATATATATCTAGGTCCAGTGGATCATATGGCCACAGTCAGACAGTTTATATGTAAATGAAAGAGTGTAAAAACAGTACTGCATAACCAATTACAGCCATTTTTATACACACTTGAACCTGCATTTGGCAGCTGTACACTAGAACTCTAAATATGAGGAACAAATGATGTTTGTGCAAGGGAAGGGGGTTCTTCATTAGGCTGAAAAACCAAAATAAACATTATCAGCAAGCTGGCAAACACTTCAGAAATGACACTGACATTGTTCAGCTGAAAGGCCATAGAAGTCAACTAAAGCGCACCATGGCAGAATTCTTTCACTGGCTAAGAAAACATCTAACACAAAAACCCTCTTGAGGAGAAAGGTCTATCCTTGTTAAGGTTCCAAGAGCATGAAGCCCACATTAGCCTTTCCAAAAAAAACCATCTAAACAGGCCCGCACAGTTCTGAGAAAATAATAATTTGGACACATGAAACCCAGATTAACTTTTACTGGAATGATGGGAAGAGATAAGTATGGAGGAGGAGAGAAACATAATTCAAAGCACACCACATAATCTGTCAAACAAAGTGGAGGTAGCGTTGTGGAATGGGCATGTATGACTACTAGTGTTTAGTGATCATGTGACTGCTGATAGAAGTAGCAGAGTGTATTTTACAGTGTACAGAGCTCTCTGCTCAGAGACTGATCAGACAACGCTTTGCAGTGCAAATGGATGATGAAACAAAGCAAACTGCAAAGCAACCTAAGAGTTTCTCACTACAAAGAAATGGGATGTTCTTCAATGACCAAGTCAGGTCACCTGATCTCAACCCAACAGAGCATGCTTTTTCAGTTATTAAATACAGAAACGAATGCAGAGACCCACAAACAAGCAGCAACTGAACATAGCTGTAGTAAAGGTCTGACAATATATCTCAAGGGAAGACACAAAGCATTTGGTGTGTCCATTTGGTGTGTACAGTCAGTGACCCCAAAAGATTTTCACTCAAGTATTACAAACAAATATAAAATTTGTTAATTTATCAAATTGGAAATAGGAGAATGTGTATAAAAATGACTGTAATTCTTAACCCCCTAAAAAGCCTTGAATTAAAGTTGAAAACATGCACTTCAGCATCATGTTTGAATTAAAAGCCGCTGTGTTTGTGTAAAGAAATTGTGTCATGTAGTTTCTAAACAGGAAATTACACTACAGAATAAAACTGTGGACTTTAACCTTATTTCTGGGATCTCATCATTGATGGTGCTGAGCAGGAGAGGGATGAGTTTGTGAAAATAAGAATATCTGTCTCTGAAGTGCAACAGCCAATCACCGACGACTGCAGTCACAGCTTTTCTCACCTGGATCCAAAGAGAGAATGATAGGGGGGCAAAATTCAGGAGCTTCTAAACATAGACAAAATGGTTTTGAGTTTTAGGACAAAAATGTTAATCCATGGTCATGTTATTCCTGGAAGTTTCCCCCCCCAAAAAACTGAACCTGAGGTGAGTCGTCAAACAGTCTCTGCGCCAGGTGAGAGAGCACATCATCCAGTTTTTTCCCACTTCCATGCTGAATGACCGCCCCAGTGGCTTCGATGACAGAAACCCGTACCCGAGTGTGCTGATGAGCAATTGTCAACATGAGGGGCTTAATGAGACACTCGGCTTGCATGTGAAAGTGCTCTGAAGAGAGAGAAGGGAAAAGGATTGCAGTCCATTCAATTGTCTAACTGAAAGCTGGATCATGCAGTGATATAATACACAACTTATGATACATTATCAGACCAAGTACAGTGCTGTGAGAAGTATTTGCACTAATCCAGATTTATTTCCTCTTTTTTGGATACTTGTCAAACTTGGATGTTTCAGATCATCAAACAAATTTTAATATCAGACAAAGGTAACCTGAATAAATAGAAAGTGCATTTTAAAATGATAATTTCATTTACTAAGAAAAATAAGTAATTTAGGTAGAAAATTGAGCTTAATCACAGCCAATTAATGATTTAACCAGAAGCAAGCAATTCTTTTTCTCACAGGGCCAGGTAAGTTTAAATTGTTTTCCCCTTAATAAATGAAACCATCATTTACAAACAGCATTGTGCATTTACTCGGGTATTCTTTGTCTAATATTAACATTCATTTGACGATGTGAAACACGTCAGTGTGCCTACGGGATCTGTTCAGGCAAAACAAGCAACTACTGACTGCTCTAGTTGCCCAGCACAAAAACGTCACTGCCATTTAATATAAGTGCGGAGGCACCTGCGCAGTACAGGAAAGAGAGCTGTTGGGCCCCAAACATGTCTGCGTGCTTCGAAACCATGGTAACCAGCTTTCTCCACAGCCACAACAAAACCCATTCACCAACCTGGCACACACTTCGCAAAGTTCACGGTGCACTTGCAGCTTTCACGTTTAACATCGGGGAAAGGGTCTACGATGGTTCTCTGCAGTATGTTGATCACTTCGCTCAGATAGGGTGCTAAATTCTTCCCGCACACTTCCACTATTAGAGTTAGCATTTCCACGGCCGACAGGCGAAGTTCCTCCGCCGGCTCCAGGATCTCATTCTCCCCAAATCGCTGAGCCAAGCAGGGCATGAGATAAGGCAGCGATTCCTCCGGCTTCGGGACACATCGGATAAACTCTGTCAAAACCGCTATAGTAGTTTCTCTGCATCTTTCCATTGGGTCTGACAGGCATTTAAGGAGAGGCTTGATGAGGGAAGAAAAGACTTCCTGTAAGGCGCTGCTGGACAGTCCTTTATCAACCGTCTCCTTCTTGATCGCCTCCAGAGCTCTTTTTCTTGTCGCCTTGTTGTCTTCGTTCAGACAATTTAAATGTCGGGCGAGTCCTCTCAAAACTTCAGAGGAAGCATGCTCGTCTCCAGTCGCCATCGCCGCCATCTTGGCTGTCGTTATGGCAACCGGCATTCGCACGACAAACAAACGACTGCTTTACGATAGTTTCAGATTCAAAAATATGAAACTTTATTTACATTCGCAAACACAAGACTATCATGGTGGCATCTAGGGCTATTCAGATGTTTTCATATATTATTACAGCACAAATTAAAGAACAAAAAAATAGAAATCAATAAAATAATAATAATAATAATAATAATAATAAAAAAACACTAAAACACACACACACACACACAAACATAACCCCCCCCCCCCCAATTAAAAGTTCACCAAATTGCCAAAACAGAATGAAAATGACATACACAATGATTTTATTTGAAGTCTCCCAGCTATACAAACTGTATATTCTGTAAATTAGCCAGGTTTGGCTTACAATTAAACTTACAGTTGCGGTCAGACACTCATCATGGCCATAAATCTCATGGCTATTTGGAGATTTTAATGACTTCCTTAAACTGTTTGTTTTTCAGTGTTGGAATCCAATACAGTATACATTTATTTAGGATTTTCTCTAATCCATGCAGGTTCAAAAGTATACATACAGGCTCAAATACATACATAGACCCACTTGATAAGTGGTGCTGAAAGTACTGTGTCTTTAATTTGACATGGCCAAAGTCTATTAACTTCTCATCAGTGATCATGATGGACTGCTTATTTCTCTGACCAACACTCAAAACAACGGGAAAATCCACAGAACTCAGTGAAGATCTAAGGAGAATTGTAGATTTGCACAAGTTGGGAAGGTCTCTTGGAGCCACATCTAAACAACTGCCAATTCAAAATCATCAGCTTAAACAACTATACACAAAAACAAGTTATTCTGATGCATAGCCACTTTGCCAAAGTCTGGAAGAAGAGCCAACTGTCACCCTCATATTGGTCAGGATACTCAGGAATAACCCAGAAACCACCAAGACTGAAGCCTGCCATGAACTGGAAACTGCAAAAACAATAGTGTCACTGTCCACAGTGAAGAGTATTTTATGTCATTGTGGACAATGACCAAGAAAAATGCCCTTGTTCCAAAATCATCACTCAACTCGGCTCGACTGAAATTTTAAGGTTAAATGGGATAGAAAAGTTTTATAATCAGACAAGACAAAGCTTGAACTATTCTGCCACAATGTCAAAATATATGTTTGGAGGAGTAAAGGTGAGGCTTTCAAACCTAAGACTTTTCTCTGCATCTTTCCATTGGGTCTGACAAACATTTCAAGAAAGGCTTGGTGGTGGCATCATGGTCTAGAGCTGTTTTGCTGCTAATGGTACTGGTACATTGCACAAAATGGATGGAATAATAAAAATATCTTTAATAAATTCTTGGAGTTTCCCATTACTCTAAATATTAGCCATTACAATGAGTGCTGCCAAACAAATCCTGGCAAAGAGAAATGACCACTTCAATTCACTTCAGTCAATTATGATCAACAAGAAGTATAGGATTCTTCCTTCACAAGGAAGGACAATTTACACATATTGAACAATTTAAGTAGGTGTACAGTGGGGCAAAAAAGTATTTAGTCAGCCACCGATTGTGCAAGTTCCCCCACTTAAAATGATGACAGGGGTCAGTAATTTGCACCAGAGGTACACTTCAACTGTGAGAGACAGAATGTGAAAAAAAAATCCATGAATTCACATGGTAGGATTTGTAAAGAATTTATTCGTAAATCAGGGTGGAAAATAAGTATTTGGTCACCTCAAACAAGGAAAATCTCTGGCTCTCACAGACCTGTAACGTCTTCTGTAAGAAGCTTTTCTGTCCCCCACTCGTTACCTGTATGAATGGCACCTGTTTGAACTCATCATCTGTATAAAAGACACCTGTCCACAGCCTCAAACAGTCAGACTCCAAACCCGCCATGGCCAAGACCAAAGAGCTTTCGAAGGACACCAGGAAAAGTATTGTAGACCTGCACCAGACTGGGAAGAGTGAATCTACAATAGGCAAGCAGCTTGGTGTGAAAAAATCAACTGTGGGAGCAATCATCAGAAAATGGAAGACATACAAGACCACTGATAATCTCCCTCGATCTGGGGCTCCACGCAAGATCTCATCCCGTGGGGTCAAAATGATCATGAGAACGGTGAGCAAAGATCCCAGAACCACACGGGGGGACCTGGTGAATGACCTGCAGAGAGCTGGGACCAAAGTAACAAAGGTCACCATCAGTAACACACTACAACAGCAGGGAATCAAATCCCGCAGTGCCAGACGTGTTCCGCTGCTGAAGCCAGTGCATGTCCAGGCCCGTCTGAAGTTTGCCAGAGAGCACATGGATGATACAGCAGAGGATTGGGAGAATGTCATGTGGTCAGATGAAACCAAAGTAGAACTTTTTGGTATAAACTCAACTCGTCGTGTTTGGAGGAAGAAGAATACTGAGTTGCATCCCAAGAACACCATACCTACTGTGAAGCATGGGGGTGGAAACATCATGCTATGGGGCTGTTTTTCTGCCAAGGGGACAGGACGACTGATCCGTGTTAAGGACAGAATGAATGGGGCCATGTATCGTGAGATTTTGAGCCAAAACCTCCTTCCATCAGTGAGAACTTTGAAGATGAAACGAGGCTGGGTCTTCCAACATGACAATGATCCAAAACACACCGCCCGGGCAACAAAGGAGTGGCTCCGTAAGAAGCATTTGAAAGTCCTGGAGTGGCCTAGCCAGTCTCCAGACCTCAACCCCATAGAAAATCTGTGGCGGGAGTTGAAAGTCCGTGTTGCTCGGCGACAGCCCCAAAACATCACTGCTCTCGAGAAGATCTGCATGGAGGAATGGGCCAAAATACCAGCTACTGTGTGTGCAAACCTGGTAAAGACCTATAGTAAACGTTTGACCTCTGTTATTGCCAACAAAGGTTATGTTACAAAGTATTGAGTTGTATTTTTGTTATTGACCAAATACTTATTTTCCACCCTGATTTACAAATAAATTCTTTACAAATCCTACCATGTGGATTCATGGATTTTTTTTTTTCACATTCTGTCTCTCACAGTTGAAGTGTACCTCTGGTGCAAATTACTGACCTCTGTCATCATTTTAGGTGGGGGAACTTGCACAATCGGTGGCTGACTAAATACTTTTTTGCCCCACTGTATGTATATATTTGAGCCTTTATGTATACTTTTTGTGGATTTAAAAAAAAAAACAAAAAACCTCAAATTAAACTTGTGCACCCAGTTCTTGTTCTCTTCAGTCATTAGAGATGTATAATGTCCAGTCATTCCACCCTGAAAAAGAACAGAACAAAATCCCAAATTACCATGACATTCATGCCCATAATGAGTTTATGTAAACTTCAGACCAGAACTGCTGATAATTAGAAAGCTATTTGTGTAGTGCTTGTGTACACTGGAGTCAAGAGACATGACAAAGGAAAGACACAGAGAGAGGTGGAGTGAGGTAATTAATTACCTATGTGTTTAACAAAACCGCCCCAACACAATAGATAATATAAACAAGTAAAAGCAAGGTATTATCAGTACTGCGGGTTTGTGAGTGCATAGGATAATCATATCACAAAAATATAATCACAATCATATAATGATATGACAATCATATGGCATGATAATATTTTATTATCAGTAATAATGAAGAATGGTGAACAAGGTGGACAACAAGCAAAAATGCATGATGGAGATGACCTTTTAAAAGTCTGAGAAAATGTGGGCGTTTTATATGAGAATATTCATAATGCAGAACCTTTGACACACTTATAACAGAACCAGGTGGCATTTGTTGGGGGGTTGGGCACAGAGACTAGTGTCTCAGTTTTAGATTAGGATGGTTTCTGAGGCTTTAAATCCAGTGTTATTTAGCCGCAGGACTAATCATGTGGTGGGAAAGCATGCATATACGTCATAAAAATGTGATATTAGGCCTGTAGCTGCAGAGCAGTGAGGGTGTAACCCCAAAGACTATGATGGAGACGTTCATACTTGGAAATGAACGCCTCTAAGTAATACTAATACTACTACTACTACTAATAATAATAGCAGCACAGTTCTTTTTTGTGTGGTTATTTCCTCTAAGGGTGTTTAATCTGTAAATGCGCTGCCGCGTGCTCGCTGGCCTCGAGAGAGCGCCGCTGCGGTCGAGGAGATGACAGATTGACGTCATCGAGACTGACGCAGAGCGAGCGAGAGGTAGCGGTGAGGCAGAGGCAGCAACAGCAGCATCCCAGCTAACGAAAGGCACCTCATCAATCTCTTACCAACCAGCGAGGTGTTTTTTCCTCCACATCCTCCACAAATAACGGTAGGGACACGAGCGCGAGCAAGGACTGAACCGTGTCTACGAAATAGCGGTGGGGTGGTTTTAGACCGGGCTCGTGATGCTTTATGCTGTCGCCGTAATTCCCCCTTCGTTGTGGTTTGGTTGTCATTGTAAGGTTAGCAACTCTGGCTGTGTTAGCTGTGTATTGAATGCAGACGAGCAGGTGTTCGGTTTCATCACAAGCGCCACAGTTTACACAGTTAAAATTGTTCCGTGTGGACATCGCTGCTGGTGTATTTGTTGTGAATGAAGCTGCAGCCTGATGTCACCCTCAAAGTCATGCTCGAGTCTGGTTTATTATGCAGAAATAACGATACGGTTAACGTGATTTCCCTTTGAGGAAGTGATTCAGGGTAGTTAACTGTTAGCTAGCTACACCTGCCCAGCTTCCTGTCTTGATTTGAGACGTATTGCACAATTATCTGCAGTCAGACATAGGCTACTAGCATTTGTTAGTAGTCATGTGTTGTTATATAATTACCATTGCCTTCACCTGCTGAAGTATTTAGTTTCACAAATAAAGGCACTACTTTCCAGTATTTCAATGTTCAGTCATGTTTATCCGCCACGAAAAATAGGCCGTGTTCCAGTGGACCTCCATTGATAGTAAGTTAAGTTCTGTTAGATGTGTTTACATTAACTTTTTTTTTTATCGGTTTCAATTACATTGATTTCAATTGAACTTTATTTATATAGCACCAAATCACAACAACAGTTGCCT